GCTTGCTGAAAGTGAAGAGGACTTAAAATATTTACTGATGAAGATCAAAGAGCACAGCCTTCACTAAGGAAAAAAAACAAAAATCCTCACCACTGTACCAATAAACATTATTACCATTCTTGGATCACCTTCTTCTTGAATCAGCTATGAACACTCACAGAAGTAGCAGTCAAGAATTCAAACGACATACTGCATTGGGCAAATCTGCTGCACAAGACCTTTTTAAAAGTGTTGAAGAGCAAAGATGTTAGCTTGAGGACTAAGGTGCGCCTGACCCAAGCCATGATATTTTCAGTAACCTCATATGCATGCAAAAGCTGGACAGTGAATAAGGAAGACCGTAGAAGAATTCATGCTTGTGAGTTATGGTGTTGGAAGAGAATATTGAAAGTGCCATGGGCTGCCAAAAGAACCAATAGATCTGTGTTGGAAGAAGTACAGCTGGAGTGCTCCTTGAAGACCAGGATGGCCAAACTTGGTCTCTCATACCTTGGACATATTGTCAGGAGGGACTAGTTACTGGAGAAGGATATCATGTTTGGTAGGGTCAGAGAAAAAGAGGAAGACCCCCAGCGAGATGGATTGGCCAAGTGGCTGCATCAATGGGCTCAAGCGTGGCAACAATTGTAAAGTTGGCCCAGGACTGGGAAGTGTTTCATTCTGTTGTGCATAGGGTTGCTATGAGTTGGTACTGGCTCGATGGCACCTAACAATAACAACAAGAAGTCAGAACCAACTCAGTAGTAAACAATCACCACCACCACCACTCTGCCTTATACTTCAATCTCTAGATCGCTTATGGAGAGTACTGGAATGCTACATGCAAGGGTGTCAGTTCAAATCCACCAGCAACTCCTCAAAAATCCTATATGGGGTCCCTATGAGTGGGAAACGAAGGCATTTAACAACTGCAAGGTACTTATAATGCCTAATACAATGTCAATAAGGAGCTCTGGTAGCATAGTGGTTACAAATTGGGCTGCGAACCGCAAAGTCAGCAGTTCAAAACTACCAGCTGCTCCGCTGGGAAAAGACGAGGCTTTCTGTTCCCTTAAAGATTTACAGCCTCGGAAACCCTGTTCAGGGTCACTATGGATTGGAACTGACTGGAGGGCACTTTAACACCAATAAAAACAACAAGGGCAATACTATGGTAACAGCTCCCTCTTAGCCTTTGAAGGGTTCCTTTGATCACTTAATTGCTGCTTTTTGTTTTGTCTTGACCTTGAACATTTTCCATCCTGGTGTGGTGCTGTAGGATAAGCACTAGACTGCTAACCACAAGGTCAGCTGTTCAAACCCACCAATTGTTCCTTGGAAACCATATACAGGGTCACTGTGAGTTGGAAACAACTCAGTCGCACTTAACAACAATAATAGCAGTTGGTTGAATCCAAGAATGTGGAATCCATGGATATTGGCAAGTGTGGAGCTGCAGGTTAATGCGCCTGACTGCAAAGTCAGTTTGAACCACAAAGTCAGTGGTTCAGGCTCACCAGTTGCTCCTCAGAAACCCTATAAAGGGTCGCTACGGGTCAGAACTGACTTGACAGTGCTTAACATCACTACCACCATACTCTTAGCTTTCAGTACTATCATCTGGGCCTTCATTCAATCCTGTGTCCATTTTGTATATTGTTGTTGTTGTAAAACCGACTTTGCAGTCCAGCACATTAACCCACAGCACCATTAGAAGTCCACATTACAACTTTTTTTTGACTGGGAGAAGGGATGTTGTTATTGTTGTTAGGTGCCATCGAGTTGGTACTGACCCATAGTGACCTTATGCACAGCAGAACGAAACAATGCCCAATCCTGGGCCAACCTCACTACTGTTGCAATGCTTGAGTCCATCAATGCTGCCACTTGGCCAATCCATCTCGTTGGGGGTCTTCCTCTTTCTCTCTGACCCCCCCACCTTACCAAACATGATATCCTTCTCCAGTGACTGGTCCCTCCTGACAATATGTCCGAAGTATAAGAGATGAAATTTGGCCATCTTGGCCTCCAAGGAGCACTCTGGCTGCATATCTTCCGAAACGGATCTATTGGTTCTTTTGGCAGCCCACGGCACTTTCAATATTCTCCTACAACACCATAATTCAAAAGCATCAATTCTTCTACGGTCTTCCTTATTCACTATTCAGCTTTCTCATGCATGTGAGGTTATTGAAAATACCATGGCTTGGGTCAGGTGCACCTTAGTCCTCAAGCTTTGCTCTTCAACACTTTACGCCATTTGATCTCTTGACTGCTACTTCTGTGAGTGTTGATAATTGATCCAAGAAGAATGAAGTCCTTGACAACTTCAATCTTTTCTCTGTTGATAATAATGTTGTTTTTGGCCCAGTGGTGAGGATTTTTGTTTTCTTTCCATTGAGATGCAATCTTTAGTGAAGGCTGTGCTCTTTGATCTTCATCAGTAAATATTTTAAGTCCTCTTCACTTTCAGCAAGCAAGGTTGTATCATCTGCATATTGCAGGTTGTTAATGAGTCTTTCTCCAATCCTGATGTCCCGTTTTCTTCATATAATCCAGTTTTGCAGATTATTTGCTCAGCATACAGGTTGAATAAGTATGGTGAAAGAATACAACCTTGACGCATACCTTTCTTAATTTTAAAACATTCAGTGTTCTCATGTTCTGTTCGAACAACTGCCTCTTGCTCCATGTACAGATTCCTCATGAGCACAATTAAGTGTTCTAGAATACTCATGCTTCGTAATGTTGTCCATAGCTTGTCATGATCCACACAATCAAAAGCCTTTGTGTAGTCAATAAAGCACAGGTAAACATCTTTCTGATATTCTTTGCTTTCAGCCAAGATCCATAGGACATCAACAATGATATCCCCTGTTCCACGTCCTCTTCTGAATACAGCTTGAACCTCTGGAAGTTCTCTGTCAATGTATGATTGTAGCCGTTTCTGTATTACCTTTAGCAAAACTTTACTCGCATGGGATATCAAAGAGATTGTCCGATGATTTCTGCATTCCGTTGGGTCACCTCTCTTTGGAATGGGCACAAATATGGATCTCTTCCAATCAGTCGGCCAGATAGTCGTCTTTCAAATTTCTTGGCAGAGATGAGTGAGTGCCTCCTGTGCCACCTCACTTTCGTGAAAGATTTCAATTTTTACTCCATCAATTCTTGGTGCCTTCTTCTTTGCCAATTCCTTCAATGCACCTTGGACTTCCTCCTTCAGTGCCATTGGCTCTTGATCCTATGCTATCTCTTGAAATGGTTGAACATTAACCTTTTCCTTTTGGTACAATGACTCTGTGTATTCCTTCCATCTTCTTTTGATGCTTTCTGCATCATTCAATAATTTGCCCAGAAACTCTTTTTCCCAGAGAAGGGATAGTGCTACCTTAAAAATTTGGGGAAGTTTGCTTTGATTCTGAAACATGCGGGTCTTTCAAGAGTGAGTCATGATGGCAATTTGTTTATTGACTAATGATTAAGTGCCAGGCACTTAAAAAATTCATTGTCCCATTTAATTCTTCCAGCAAAATTCCCATTAGGCAGGCATTTTACAATTGAGAGACAGAGACTAGAGAGATGTTAGGTAATTGGCCAAACATCTCACACCTAATAATGTTCAAATGCCACAGCATCACCTCCCCAATGCTCAGTTTCTAGGATGAAGCTGTGACAGATGAGGCAACTTAAACCGGGATCTTCTTGAGTTTGACCCAGAGGTCTACTGCCAGGACTTGAACTCCAAATAACAGAAGGAATTCCAAAGGCTAGACAGGTGCCACCTGACTGGTACCTGATTGTGCTACGCACCTGGACCAGCACCTTCACACCTGTGTGGACTCTTTCTACCTGAGACCAGAGAAACTGAGGTAAGAGGCCCACCCCTTGTCCATTTGGTTTCAGAAGTTCCTAGAATAGGAATCAAGAAACTCCTGGAGGAACCCTTGGTGATGCAAATGAGAGCGTTTTTTTCAATGCAAATGCTTCATCGATGCCATTTCTCTGTAAATATGTTGTTGTTGTTGAGTGCCATTGAGTCAGTTCCTACTCATAATGACACTATTTAGGTTTCCAAGGAGAAGCTTGTGCGTTTAAACCACCAGTCTTGTGGTTCAAACCAACCTTGCTATCAAGTGTTTATCCTACAGCATCAAACCAGGACTCTTATGTTCTGATTTGTGTACATAAGTGTGCATTTATGGCGGTGGTGTTGGTTGTGCGCCGTGAAGTTGATTCTTAACGGGAGCAAAAAATGCCTCATGTTTCTCCCACCTAGTGACTCATTAAGGAGCAGAGCTCTGGTAGCGTAGTGGATACCAGTCGGGCTGCCAGCAGCAAAGTCACCAGTTCAAAACTACCAGCTGTTCCCCGGGAGAAAGATGAGGCGTTCTGCTCCCGCAAAGATTTACAGCTTCGGAAAACCTGTACAGGGTCACTATGAGCCGGAACCGACTCCACGGCACATAACAACAACAACAGCAACAACAGTGACTCATAGATTCAAACTGCTGACCTTGCGGTTAGCAGCCCAGGTCATAATCCATTATACTACCTACCAGGCCATCATGATTAATGAAGACAGAAATGTGGAAGTAAACAGAAAAGATCTCATTTCCCCTTTAACTCGTTTATTAAAACACCACAGCACAAGGAACCGATAGGAACGAATGCTCTGGGGTGCCAGGCTGTGATAGCATCGGGTTGAGGGGACTGGTGGTGGGGATGGGGTAGGTGGAACTAAAACAGAGCCAGAATCCCTGGCAGTGGCGTAATTTGGGTTGGTGTTACCGGTCTACCATTCCCCGCCAATAGGAGAGTGATGCGCTGAGGGGGCGGGGCCGGAGATTAGCCATTCTGCCCACACCTGATGGGGATTGGCCGGCCGGCTCCACCCACAGGGCGGTGACATAGTAAATTACAGTCCTGGTTGATCCAACCCTAGTGACGCCACTGTTGCTAGGAGGCGACGCTGCACTACGGAGTCTTCTTCCGGGATGGCGGTGACCATTTCCGGAGCGACGGCGCTCGAAGCGGAAGTGCGGGCTCCTTGCGGCGGCTGTCTCCGGGCGGGCGGAGGGAGGCTCCCGAGGTGGGGGCCGGGCCGGGCCGGGATGGCGGCATCTGCGGCCGGGGCCGGGGCCTGGGCGGCCCAGGAGAAGCAATTCCCGCCGGCGCTGCTCAGCTTCTTCATCTACAACCCGCGCTTCGGCCCGCGCGAGGGCGAGGTACGTCCGGCGGCCGGAGAGGGCTGTGGGGGGAGGGGGGAAGGCGGCGGCGGTCCCGGGGGGCGGCCCCCGACCGGAAGACTCGCGAGCGGCACCTGTCATTTGGCCCTCGCTGAGTAGCAATGACTGAACTTCTGCTTTGGTGCCAGGTATGGCGCCGGGGACCTGGCTAGGGCGAAGACGCCCGGCTTAAAGGCTGAATTTGTGGAATAAGGTTCTTCAGGTTAATCATTTCCAGCTGGGTTGAACAGATTCTGGCCTTTCAAACGGAGCTTTTGTTATCGGAACCTCCTAAATAGGAAGAAGCATGGAGCCAGAGTGCTGGACCGTAGCCTTAAACTAACGCAGTCTGGAAGAGCCCTAGGAAACTCTCCCACTCCAAATTAATAAATAAGCAAATGCCGGAAATTGAGGTTTCTTATCTTGTTATTTTGAAGTGGGGACCGTGATTTCCCACAGACTATCCGGAGCTATGTTTTGTTGGCTTTTGAATCACGCTGCTTTTGAAGGTTGTCAGTCAAAACGCCAGGGACCTGCAGGGTGTAATTTGCGGGCAGGTGTGGGACTTTACACGTGTGCACAGGTTTCTTGTATTGTTTTCTAAATTAGCTTTAACTACTGTATCACAAAGTAGCCTGAGGGAGTAAGCTCAAAGATTGCGTTTTCAGAATAATTACAGGTGCTTGGGTCGGAACCATTGAGGACCGTTAGTACAACTGAGATGAAATGGGATTTACATACTGTATGTCCTAAATAGCCTTTCAAGCCGTTGGGTAGTATCATTCCCAGGGTTTTGTGTGTGTGTGTGTTTTAGCATGTATGATGTGAAAGGTTGCCATTTAGTGTTATTAGTGGTAATCTGCTTAATGTGCTTCTGTTCATACTTTAGGAGGAAAATAAAATTTTGTTTTATCATCCAAATGAAGTTGAAAAGAATGAAAAAATCAGAAACGTTGGATTATGCGAAGCTATTGTACAATTTACCAGGTAATGCTTTAAGTGTACTTTTGTACGGCTTAGTGAATCCTTAAAATTTATCCTGGTGCATTGTCCCATTATATTCTTTTTTGCCTTTTTTTTTTTTTAGGACCTTTAGTCCTTCAAAACCTGCAAAATCTTTACATACGCAGAAGAATAGACAGTTTTTCAATGAACCAGAAGAAAATTTCTGGATGGTCATGGTATTTACTGATACAGTTTATTTTTCTGAAGTTGTGTAGTACAGTAAAGTTGTGATTGGTATTTTCTGTTAGGAATTTAGACAAGTCCTCTGACTATTGCATGACAATAAAGTTGGTTGGAATTTTTAAACTAAATTCATATTCAGTACATTTTTATTCTCAGGGTTGTGTTAAGACATTCTTAAAATTTCTAGTGTGATACAGAGGTTCAAACTTTTTTAAACTAAAGGGAAATGAAGATTATAGATTCCCATTGTATAATTACAGTATATTAAATTTTGCAGGTGGTTCGGAATCCTATCATCGAAAAACAAAGTAAAGATGGAAAACCAGTTGTTGAGTATCAAGAAGAAGAGTTGCTGGTAATGTGTTACTTTTGGTTCTTATTTTTCTTAGAAAAAATGAATTCCTGAATATGTTGAGTGAGTTTACTAAGGCTAAATCAGGTCGTTTTTGCAAAAGTTTCTCAGGGTCCATAGCAAAGTTTTGGATATGTGTAAATCAACTTGATGGCACTTAACAATAACAATCTTTAAAAAACATGTTTGTATCCTATTGCACTAGTACCTTCTACTGATCACCTATGTCCAAAGCCTTCCTAAAATGAGGAATACAGATTCCTAAATTTAAATACTCCTAAGGAGTCCTGCTATGGTGCTGTCAGATAAGCACTGGACTTCTAACTGCATGGTTGGTGAGTCAAACCTGCCAGCCACTTCTCGGAAGTGCTATACAGGGTCGTAGTGAGTCAGAACTGACTCAAGGGCACTTAACAAGTAGCCCTGGTGGCACAGTGAGTTAAGTCTGGGCCTACTAACCAAAAAGTCAGTGGTTCAAACTCACCAGCCACTCTGGAGGCAGTCTGCTCCAATAAAGATTAGCAATATCCAAAATCCTATGTTGTTATTAAGTGCCGTCGAATTGATTCTGACCCATAACGACCCTGTATAGGGTTTCCGAAAAGCAGCTGGTAGGCTTGAACCACAGACCTTGCAGTTCAAACGTCTTTGCTGTCTGGCGCATTAACCCACAGCACCACACCAGGACTCCATGGAGGTGTTTTATTCTATCATATAGGTCCCTGTGAGACAGAATTGTGGGGTGGTTTAGTTTTTTGTTGTCGTTAAAGCACACAACTGAAGGAACTTTGGTGGTGCAGTCATTAAAGCACTCAGCTGCCAATCAGAAGATCTACGGTTTCAACCCACCAGCTGCTCTGCAGGAGAAAGATGTGTCATTCTTCTTCTGGAAAAATGGCAGCCTTGGAAACCGTGTGGAGCACTTCTACTCTGTTCTACAGAGTCGCTATGAATCAGAATCAACTCTGTGTCAATGGGTTGGGGGTTTTTCAGTTTTCAGCACACATCTATCGTAGGACCAGGTTTATACATATTAACTTGTTTTGCCAAGAGTCAGTATGCCTTTACTATACAGTAGACCTTCTTTTCCCCTTGCACCTCTTGAATTAAGAACTGCCCTATGTTTTGGTGTTGTTTTTAGGACAAGGTTTATAGTTCCGTGCTACAGCAGTGCTACAGTATGTACAAGGTGAGTGTGACATTGTTTTTGAAATAAGATTGCAATTAACCAAACCCAACCCTGTTCACAAACTAAGGAGCATTGGGCTGCTAACTACAAGGTTGGCGGTTCAGACTCATAGTTGCTCCACAGGAGAAAGATGAAGCGGTGTGCTTCTGTAAAGCTTTAAAGTCTTGAAACCTGAGGAAGCAGTTCTACTCTTCTCTGTAGGGTGGTTATGAGTCAGAATTGACTTGATCGCAGTGGGTAGTTACAAACGGGTGACTGCAACCCTGGGCTCAGGCACAGCAATGCTGGTGAGGATGGCATAGGACCAGATAGTTCTCCTTCTGACCTGTGAGTCGGAAGCTCTCTCACAGCACCTACCAACCAGTAAACTACAAGCTTAGGGGTCTTTGAAATGTAATTGTTACTTTTTTGAGGACTTCAGAATGACTATCTGTTTTAGGGGAAGAAATAATAAGGCTTTGGAAACAGCTGTTGACATTTCTGAATACTAAGCGCTGTACTGCAAAGTTGGTTTGAACCACAAGGTCAGTGGTGCAAGCTCACCAGCTGCTCCTCAGACACCCTCTACAGGGTCACTATGGGTTTGGACCCACTTGACAGCACTCTTGAGCTGCTCCAGCTTTTGTACTGAGAACTGTTGGTGAATAGTACAAACTGCAGACACTTTAATGGTTTACAAAGTGTGGTGATAGTATTTATGTAAAGCGAAATTTAGATGCAAGTTGAGATTTAAACAAAAGATGCTCAGAACAATGTAAAGTGGTGTCATAAAAATCATGTCAAAACTGAACAATGTGCTAACTTCTTATAATTTATTTTCTAATTCAGGTCTCTTCCTTATGTAAATATTCTATATTTTAAAACAACTGGAGGGTTAAGTGAGCTAAATTAATTTCAGAGGAAAAGAAGAATTTGCTTATTGGCAAATTAAGGGGCATAGGAAATTGACTTATTTTAAATCTTTTGCACCATAAACTTCTTTTTGGTTGGTTGGTTTTTTAAGTGACTTATTTTATTGTGGAGTCCCTGGGTAGTGCATATGATTAACACATTTGAATGCTAAGTAAAAGATGTAGGTTTGTGTTTGCCTAGAGGAGTCTTGGAAGAAAGGCCTGGCAATCTTTTTTGCTAAAAATTAACGTTTGAAAACCTCATGTAGTACAGTTAGTTCTTCTCTGGTATACATGGAGTCACCCTGAGTCAGAGTCACCTTGACGACAACTGTGTATGAATGTGTGCGTTATAAAAATATAAGTCACTCTAAACAGAAGATTTGGAGAATACAGCCACAGAGAAGCAACACACAAAACCAAATCAGATACTTTCCTGGGATTTTCGTTTTCCATCGGGGTTCTCCTGCCGTTTCACCTGATGAACATTTGTCTCTACTCCATTAGCTCTTCAATGGCACGTTTCTGAAAGCCATGGAAGATGGAGGTGTGAAGCTCCTAAAGGAAAGATTAGAGAAATTCTTCCACCGGGTCAGTATTTTAAATTTTAAATTTCATGCATCGTTTGTATAGTGTTCAACCAGGTCTTTGGAGGAAGGTAGATACACTTGTATCTCTCATATAACAAAACCCTAGAATTTAAAGGCGACAAGGAGCCCAGCACAGATTGTAACCAGAACTGAAAGCCTGTGACCGTGGAATCCAACTCATAACGATCCTCTAGGACACAGTAGACCTATCCCATAGGGTTTCCAAGGCTGTAAATCTTTACAGAAGCAGGCTGCCACAACCTTCTCCTGCTGGTAGGTTTGAAACACTGACATTTTGGTTAGCAGCAATGCTGAGCCGCCATGGCTCCTTGGAAAAACAGACCAGTAAGGAAAGTCATTAGATTTGATTTTTAAGTTTCTCTTGTAAACTTTTGTGCTCAACCAGAGCATCCTGTTTTTGCATGGCTCCTGAAAGCATCTTGGAGGTTCCTTTGGCTTCCACCTTGTCCAACCTGAGCTGGACCACATGGGCTCCCTTAGGAGCTTCATCTTCCCTTGGGTGGATTAGTTTTCCTTCCTCCTCATTATCAAAATGTATACTCTTTCAGAGTGGTTCGTTCTTAAGGGCTGATTCGACTTATTAAATGGTGTAAGGACTGTTGAAAGAGAGAGTCCGGGTGGCATAATTGGTTAGGTGCTGGCCTGCCAACTACAAGGTCAGCAGTTCAAACTCACCAGCCACCTCAAGGGAGAAAGAGAAGGCTGTCTGCCCCCGTAAAGGCTGGCAGTCCTGGAAGCCCTAAGGAGCAGTCCTACCCTGCTCTAGGGGTCGTTGTGAGTCGAGGGCAGTGGGTGTGATGTACATTGACTATAAATAAAAGTCCCTGGCTGTCACAGTCATGGTTATTGACGGTTTTACCAGAGGGTAAATGGGTGGCCCTATATAATTGCCATTCTCTTTCACTGTAAGTGAGCTTTGACATCTCTTGTCCTGACCCCATTAAGGACCCTAAACCCTAGAGAAACAGTGGGGCCCATAGAGTTTCCAAGTCTGTAAATCTCATTGAAGCAGATAGCATATCTCCCATAGAGCAGCTGGTGTGTTTGAACCACCAACCTTTCAGTTAGCAGCCAAGTGCTTAGCTCCCTGTGTCACCAGGGCAACCTGCCACTGGTCAAGTTCCATTTATCTTAGAGGAGTAATTCTTAAGTTATTTTCCCTTTAAAACAACTGTGGTATCTTTTCTGGTGCTGTTATCACAGGAATACCATAAGCAGGTAGCTTTAATGAACAAATTGGTTCTCACAGTTTAAAACAAAGTGAGATGTCTGAATTCAGGCTGCCAGCCCTAGGGGAAGGCTTTCTCTCACTCTCTGTCACCTGGTTCTCCGTGGTTCCCAGTACAGGGACGCTGGGTCCAAAGGACATGCTCTGCTTCCCACTCTTCTTTCTTGGTTGTAGTAAGTGCGTGTCTTCCCTGTCCTGTCCTGTCCCATGTGTGTCGTCCCGCCAACCCCACCCCTTCCCCCTTACCTCTCAGAAGATTGAAAAATACTGCAGGAACTCCCCAGAGAAATCCCCTTACGTCAGATCAGGGCTTCAGGGCTGTGACCTGAGGAAGGGTGTCACACACCACCTAGTGCACTTAACTACCTCATGACATCATTGCATAGCTGCCACTCCACAGAGAATCATGACCCAGCCAAGTTGACACATAATTCAATCCATGGCAGTATATATTTTTAAAAATCTTTTTACTGTTACTGCAAAATATTTTTTGTTTCTGTCTTCACTCTAACAACCAAAATTGTTTACTCTCATACTATCTTCTCATTCCCTATTCTTGTCCTTATTTCCTACCTGAGTTGTGGCTTCTTGCCCTAACCCTGTGTCTTTTCTACATGACTGTAGCCTACAGTGGCACAGCCTAGCCCCACATTCTCATCTGGAGGCCTAAACAGGTCAATATACTTTAAAGAATGCTTCAGACATGTCATCAGGAGGGACCAGTCCCTGGAGAATGGCAGTATGCTTACTAAAGTAGAGGGTCAACGAAAGAGAGGAAGAACCAAGATGGATTGACAGAGTAGCAGCAACAGCAGCAATGAACTCAAATTTAAGGATTGTGAGGATGGACAGGAAGGACCAGGCGTTGTTGTACATGGGGCCGCTATGAATCACAACTTGACTCGATGACGCCTAACAACAATGACACAAGGGAGCTTCAAAAAGAAATTAAATACTTTAAAGCGATAAAGCATAATATTGAGTAAACAGTAGTTTGGTTTGAAGGAGTCCTGGCAGCATGGCAGTTAAGTGCTTGGTTGCTGACCGGTGTGGTAGCTGGCTTTCATAAAGATAACAGCCTGGGAAACCCTATGGGCCAGTTTGCTCTGACCTATGTAGGATTGCTATGAGTTGGAATCAGCACTATGAGTTTGGAATCAACACACCCTTAACCAACCATTTTATTTGAGCTTTTAATTTTGGGATTGGCATGACTTTCAAGTTTAAGTACCCAGAGCTCACCTCCATGGTGGTCTTACTGGTTGGCGCTGTCAGTATGCCACTGGTCCTTAAATAAAAACCCCATCTAAGGATTTTTTGTTTTCCGTTGTCAGAGTGCGCCTCCAGCAGACCTTTTGTGAGTTTTTTGTCTTGTGTTTTCCTTACAGTATCTGCAAACACTGCATTTGCAGTCTTGTGACCTACTGGATATTTTTGGTGGAATCAGCTTCTTCCCGTTGGATAAAATGACTTATTTAAAAATCCAGTCCTTTATTAATAGAATGGAGGAGAGCTTGAACATAGTCAAATATACTGCCTTTCTCTACAACGATCAGCTTATCTGGTAGGTGCACCCTGCTTTGGCTTGGCAAGACGAGAATCATTGAGGATGAAAGCAGCTGCAGCTGATGGGTAGCATATTGTCAAAGTGTGAAACTAATAGCAAGGAGTGTGAGTGGGAAGCAAACACCTTTATAGTTGTTGGTGCTGTTGAGTATCCGTGAGTCGGTTCTGACTCTTAGTGACCCGTATAGGGTTTCTGAGGAGCAGCTGGTGGGTTTGAAATGCCAACCTTGTGGTTCACAGTCCATGCGATCCACTATGCCCTACCAGAAGTGTTGTTAAGTGCTATCGAGTTGGAAGTCCTTTATAGATAATTCCAAAATCAAGCTGTGACAGTGTGAACCCAAACAAGGGTGGTTTTGATTAAAATTGGGCTTGAAAATTGATTCCATGAAAGATACCATCAGGTAAGACTTATGAGTCATAAATGTTATGGTGGTGTTTTTTACTAAATGTGCAAAACAAGAATTTTTTCATGCTTTTTATTTAAAACATAGATTAAAAAATACACATCCAAGAAATCAAGTGTAGCATATATAGGCCAGGGAATCTTCCGGCCATCAGACTATGTTTGAGACGTGTCATAGGAACAAAACCTAATTTCTCTGAAGGACATGTTGATTCTTAGGACACAAAGATAAACTACAGTGAAACCTGTGAGAACCGGAACTGAAGGGCCTGCCTGATACTTCCAGGTCTTGAGAATTGTCCTCCTTTAGCAGGGCACAGTCTTAACACTCTTCTGTCATTTTCTATTGTTGTTAATGCCATCAAGTCGGTTCCAACTCATAGCAACCCTGTATAGAGTTTCCGAGAGGTGGCTGGTGAGATTAAACTGCCAACCTTGAGGTTCAAACCAACCGTGCAGTCCAGTGTATTAACCCACAGCATCACACCAGGATTACTATTAGAAAGTTTTTGAGTTTTCCATCTCTGGAAGGCTCCCCTTACACAGGTTCCAGCAGCCATTGATTTTACAAATGCTTTCAACCATCACAGACAACTCAGGGTCACCATGTGCGTGTGCATGAGACAGCTCCTGCTTAGAGGATTGATGTGAAGAGAGTCCCTCCACACTTTCTCCTTGTGGCCGACGGGCTCTTGGGGACAAGCTGCTGAGAGCCAGGCTCTGGGGAATGTGGCTGCTAAAAAATCCTCAAAGCCCTGTGCCAGAGGAGGCGTGCCGACTGTGGTTGTGTGTGTGCCGCTTTGGGGTTGCTGTTTCATTTAGGCAGATCTTGGAGCTCCTGCGGGCTCCATCCCAGGACCTGCTGTTTTGTTTAGAGTGCAGCCAGACCTCGGACATATGGCAGAATCCATCCCAGACCCCCTGACAATAAAGTGAATCTCGCAGTCAAGCACATGTGAATGTTTTGGTCTCCCAGTGCGTAAGAACGTTATGCCGACATTGCCCTGTAGTGTCTGAAGTGTGCAGTGGCACAGTGAAAATGTTTGCAAGATTGTGAGAATGACCAACGTGGGACGCAGACAAAGTCAGCACACACTGTTGGAACAACGGTGCCTAGAGATCTGCTTGTTGCAGACTTGCTGCAGACCTTGAATTCATAAAGAAAACAAATGGTCAAAGAAACAGTATCTGTGAAGTGCAGTAAAACGAAGTATGCCTGCATCGGAGTCCTGGTGTGATGCTGCAGGGTAAGCACTGGACTCCGAACCACAAGGTGGGTGGTTCAAACCCACCCGCTTCTCTTGGAAACCCTATACAGATGAATCGGAACCGACTTGACGGCTTAGCGTCATGCCTGTATATGTGAAGGTTTGTGAACAAAACCACCACAAGTCCACTCGGTACTGAAATAAATAACAGACCCCAAAGTAACATAAAAAACTAAAAGTCAGTCTTGTCAAAAAGTAGTGTGTTAACTGTGCCTAGAAGAGAATCAGTTGCAGTTTAAGCTCAAGAAAAGTTTTTGCTTTTTGTGAAAGAGAAATTTAGGTTAAGTGACTTTGAGCCTTGGAGCACACCTGAACATGGAGACATGCAGCCTGGCTCCTTTTTGACAGGAGCCATGGATGGTGGCCTGAGTTGGTAGGGATACAGGGTGACAGGCGTGGCAGCCAGCACTTCGAACTGGTTCAAAACATTGTTCAGTCGTTGCCATCATAAACCATGGCCACGTATTTGTTGTACAGCAACCACATCTATTGCCCGCTGTATTTTGACCCGAGTAGGAAACATATGGTGTGGCACTGTAAGATCAGAGCTGGACTGTGAACCACATGGTCAGCAGATCAAACCCACCAGCTGCCCCTTGGAAACCTCGTATAGAGTAGCTATGCATCGGAACCGACTCAACGGCATTTAACAACAACAGGAAACACGTGGTGGTACCCGGCTCAAAGATAGCGGCTGGTGACAGAACTGATCCCCAGCACACCACTACCACCATGCTACTCTGAATGTGCGCTACTCCAGCCTCCCCCCTCAGCCTTTTGAACCTGTCAGAGCAGTGCGCTGCAGCAGGACCATTGGAGAACAACACTTTCGTCAGGACTCTGGAGAACGCGGTCAGCCACCATCTTCGAGGAGGGTGCATAGCTGTTTCCCAAACCAGAAAACAACTCCACTGCCATCGAGTTAATATGCATCGACCCTGGAGGACCGAGTAGAACTGTTCCATGTGCTTTTCCTGTCAGTCCTTACTCAAGGAGGGACTGCTGGGTTTGAACCATCAACCTGTGGTCAGCTTCCAAGTTTGTTTCCTACTGGAATCAAAACACCATGGGCAAAAGAGTTGATTGTTATGTAACACATACCCAGCCCTTGTTTACCAGGCCCTTACTGAACTGGCTTGAACCGGTGGAAGTCCTGGTGGTTGGAGAATCGCTGTAGCCAGAGCAAATGACAGTATGTGGGGATCGGCCACCTTAGTGTTTGGTGCTCTGAACAGCTGTCCTCAATTGCACTCTTTGGTTTTGCTTTTTAATTACCCTGAAATCGAGTAAGTGTTTAATACCTAGCTGATCAGACCCACAAGACACTTCTTGGAAACCCTATTTGGGGTCCCTTTGAGTCAGAATCAACTCGCTGGCACTTAACAACAACAAAAAGTTCTTGAGTGAGGAGCCCTGGTAGCACAGTGGTTAAAGTGCCCTGCTGCTGACCAAAAGGCTGGCGATTGGAACCCACCCAGTTACAGGAGAAAGACCTGGCAGTCTGCTCCAGTAAAGGTTTGTTGTTGTTAAGTGCCATTGAGTCAGTTCCCAGTGAAGAGTTGTTGTTGTATTATGTGACATGGAGTCGGTTCCAACCCATAGCGACCCCTATACAGGGTTTCCAAGGTTGTAAATCTTTACGGGAGCAGAAAGCCTCATCTTTCTCCTGTGGAACAGCTGGTAGTTTCAAACTGCTGACCCTGAAGTTTGCAGCTTGATTCGTAACCACTACGTTACCAGAGCTCCTCAGTGAAGAGTACAGCCTAGGAAAACCGCAGGTGCAGGTCTTTGCTACAGGGATTCCTGTGAGTTGGAGTCCACTTGATGGCAGCCAACAACAGCAGGTCATTTGTGAGAGAAAGTTCTGGATCATGTTATTTTCCGTCTGTGCTGCATGCCCTGTGGCCTAGGCCAGTGATGTCCCCTTAGGAGTAACAGGCAAGCCACACCTCATTCTGTTGTGCTTCATGTTAGTGCACTTCACAGAGCTGCATTCTTGACCAGTTGAAGGTGGTGTGAGACCAACATCGTGCAAGTCATCCTGCTCTTTTCCCAACAGCTTGTGAAACACGCTGGGTCTCCATGTCCCATGTTGGTCATTCTCAACAAGATTTCACGCTTTTTCCTCATGCGGTAGCACACTTCTTAGACGACAGCCTAGTATCAACAGCGTTTTTATCTGCACAGGAAACCAGAACACTTTTATGACTTGCTTTATTATGGTGGTCTGGAACCAAACCCCCAATATCTCCAGGGTCTGCCTGTGCTTTTAGGAGCACAGTGGCTCCGTAGTACAAGCACTGGACTGCAAACCAAAGGTTTAGCAGCTTGAGTCCACCAGCCACCCCATAAGAGAAAGATGAGACTTTTTGCTCTCCGAGAAGATTCACAGCCTCAGAAACCTACACATAGCATCATTTGACTCAGAAACAAACTTGTTGTGAAGTGCTGTCAAGTCGATTCCGACCCATAGCGACCTGTATAGGGTTTCTGAGGAGCAGCTGGTGAGCCAGAACCAACTAGAAGGCACTTAACGACAACATTCCTATACTTCTTAATTTTCTAATAAGTATTTGGAGTCCTGGTGTGGTGCTGAAGGGTAAGCACTCGACTGCAAGGTCAGTTTGAATCACAGAGTTGGTGGTTCAAACTCACCAGCCACTCCTCAAAAACCCTATACAGGAGCACTGTTAGTCAGAACCGACTCACAACAACGATAGACCTATAAAAGTTAAAAAAAAAAAAATTGGGATTCATTTAAATAACTACATTTCTTCACCCAGAATATCTACTGTATTGCTTCAACATGTGATGCTGGGGGTGTACTGTCAGATCAGTCCCGACTCAGTGACCCTGTGTAGAATTTACCAAGACTAAATCTGTACAGGAGCAAGCCTCATCTTTCTCCAGAGGAGTGGCTGGGAGATTTGAACTGCTGACCCTGTGCATAGCAGTCGAATTTGTAGATTATTCATGATCTCTTTTTATTTTTCTTTCTGTGGTAAGTCTTTGAAATCACATATTTCTTTTACACTCTGACTTGACTTACCCACATTTCAAGTGCTCGAGAGTCCAGGCCCCTAATACCTAAAACTCCTATATATGGAAACTCTAGAATACAAATTGGCCAGCCCACTCATTCTTTGTTTCAGGTCTTCTACTTGCCATCCCCTCCGTCTCCCTCAGGGCAGTTTGTTTTTGTCTCTAAAGGAGACTGGCTCCCAGAAACTGCGTTGTTTTGGTTTCCCTCTTTATCTTGGTCAGTTGTTTCAGGAAAAAAAAAAAGAATGGCCGCAACAGTCCATGTTTGAATGTGATCCTTCCAGGGTCATTATTGCTCTGTTGATTTTAGTTGCCTTGATCCTGTGCACGCAGAATGCAGCACTGCCCAGTCCTGGGCCATTCTCATAATTGTTAGGTTTGAGTCCATTGCTGTAGTTGGTTGCCGTGTCAGTCCATCTTGTTGTGGATCTCTCTTTTCTCATCCACCCCTCTGCTTTGCCACACATGATGTTCTTCTCCTGAGAACGGGTCCTTTCACATGATTCCCATCAACTCTGTTCTGAGGAGGCAGCCCTTCCCCTGTTGTGTTTTGAGCACTGTCTAACCTGAGGGGCTCATCTTTGGCACTGTGTCTGAGAATGTTCTGCTATCCATAAGGTTTTCAATAGCTAACTTCTCAGAAGTGGTCTGCTTTTCCTTCTTCCTAATCCTCGTGTGGCACTGTGGGATAAAGCACTGGACCACAAGATCAGTTTGAACCACAAAGTCGACAGTTCAAATTCACCAGCCTTTCCTTGGAAACCCTATATTGGGTTGCTTTGAGTTAGAACCAACTCAATGGTGCTCAGCAGCAACAACAGCAGTCCGTCTTAACCTGAAGCTCAGCCAGAACCTGTCCATTGTGGGTGACTGCTGGTATTTCAAACACTGGTGGCCTAGTTTTCAGCATCACAAAAACACTCCAGCCAACATGGTACAAACTAACAGGCTAGTGGTGGTGCTGTAGGGCCGAGTATTAAAGGTTTTGTACCACTTCTTGCCTCTTGGCCTTACCTCGATCCAGGACTTAATATGCCACAGAGCAAAAAAACAAAACAAACCTGCTTATGGGTATTTAAAACAACCCACTGCCTTTTCGTCGATTTCTACTCATAATGACCCTGTAGGAGAGAGATTGCCCTTTAGGGTTTCCAAGGCTGTACTTCTTTATAGAAGCAGACTGCTACATGTTTCTTCCGAGGAGTGGCTAGTGGGTTCAAACTGCCAACTTTTCAGTTGCCCCAATGCTTAACCCATCGCTCCACCAGGACTCCTTTTTCTTAAGGGTACGTTGAAGTGCCGTCAAGTTGCTTCATAGCAAACCTATATAGGATTTCCAAGGAGCATCTGGTGGGTTTGAACTACTAACCTTGTGATTACAGTCCAGTACTGATCTACAGCACCACATAGTTGTGGTTTGGATAGGGTAGTATGAAAATTGAATCCTGAAAGAAGAGGCAGAGAGTACAGTGTGGTGGTGTGTGCCACCTAGGTGGTTCCAACTCATACTGACCCTGTATAGGGTTTCCGAGAGAGGCTGGTGGGTTCAAACTGGTAGTTTTGTATTTAGTAGTCCAATGTTTGTCCTTCAGCAGCATACTAGAACTCTAGTACAATGTAGGAAAAGAATAGGGTAAACCAGGAAGTTGGAAGAGTCTAGAAAAGTGTTGTTGTTGTGTGCCATGGGGTTGGTTCTGACCCATAGCGACCCAGTACGGGGTTTCCGAGGCTGTAAATCTTTACGGGAGCAGAAAGCCTCCTCTTTCTCCCATGGAACAGCTGGTAGTTTCAAACTGCTGACCTTGAGGTTAACAACCCAATTCGTAACCACTACACTACCAGATTACCAACACATTTATCTGCCGAGATTTTTAACTGGTGACCATACTGAGAAATGAAGAGGGCCTCTTGAAGAAAATATGAAGATCTGATTTCTAGAAAATTAGATTTCCTCCCAGGATTTTCCCCAGGATCTTGACTGGGAAAACGCCAGCCAGGAACTCATTGTTTCTAATGGATTTCAAGTCCAGTCTGACGCCTGTAGTTCTGGGCACTTAACTTCACAGACGACCTGTTCATTCCTTATCGTAGGTGAGATGGCTTGCCTGAAGGCTTGTTTCTTTCTCTCCTTCCTTTTGGCTGATCCTGGAATCGAGAGAATTAAAACCAACATGCATTTCTGGGACCTGGCAGGATCAAAGTTCCCTGTCTACAGCATGCCAGTATTTTCCCAGCAAGTGGCATTATTGCTGTTGGTAAGTGCTGTCGAGTCAGTTCCAACTCATAGCGATCCTTACAGGGTTTCCAAGAAGTGGCTGGTGGGTTTGAACCACCAACCTTGTAGGTAGCAGTCCAGTTCTGATCCTGAAGTACCACAACAGAAAACGAAGAGAAATCTAATTGAAATGAGCACTATGGTCATTTAATGCTGCTTAAGTAGCTTGGTGTGAGTTTTCATTTAAAATAGCGTATTTGTCGTGAGGTGCCAATGAGTCAGTTCCAACTCATAGCGACCCTTTATGCAACATACTCAGAAGAAGACCAAACTTAGCGGTCTGATAGAGACTGGTGGAACCCCTGAGACTATGGCCCTTAGACACCTTTCAGGTGGAACTGAATGTACCCTGTGTCTCAACGTTTGGCCAGACGATAGGCTTATAAGGTGAACAGTAACTCCAGGGAGGTGTGCACTCAAAACAATCAATATACTAGTTCAAAAGGCCAGCATTTGCCCAACAAGAGAGCTCAAAGGCAGGAAGGATTGGAAAGGACAAATGGAAATGGGGAGGAAGAAGAGTGGTACAAGGCTGGGAATTGCAATCTGTGTCACGAAACAAAATGAGCATGAATTGTTGAAGGGAAAACCAATTGCTCTACAAACTTCCACCCTCATAACAAAGGTTAGAGAAGAATTTAAATGGCATCTACGTTAGAGGCTATGTAGGGCTGGCATTTAGCAAGTCAGGAGAACATGTTTGAACTGAGACTCAAATCTCATTCATTCCCTTTTCAAATTCTCAGTCAAGGAAAGGACTTACTGGCATAATGATAAGTTTAATCACTGGTCAATAGAAAGACAACCAATTCCAGATGTTCAACATAGTGTTTTTCTGTTTTTCAGGAGTGGATTAGAGCAAGATGACATGAGGATTTTATACAAATACCTCACCACGTCTCTCTTCCCGAGGCACATTGAACCTGAGGTATGGGTTGGGTACTACAAGCTGGGCAGGTGTCTGTGTGGCACAGGAGTACATGTGTGTGCATCTGTGCAAATTGCGGGGAGGAGGCGGGGAGTGACGGGAGGGCGTGGAGCTTTCTGATCTGTGTTTTTTGTCAGTAGTGTGGTATTTTAAGGAGCCCTGGTGATGTAGTTAAGTGCTCACTGCAAACAGAAAGGCTGGTAATTTGAACCCATTCAGTAGCTTCCTGGTGTAGCATTGTAGGGTAAGCATTGGACTACTAACCATGGGGTTGACAGTTCAAATCCACTAGCTGTTCCTATATAGAAAGTCTTGTTCAGGGTCGCTCTGCATCAGAGCTGACTTCCTGGCACTTAGCAGCTGCAGCGTCCTGAGACAAAGACCTGGTGCCCTGCACCTGTTACTGCTGTTGTTTGGTGCCATCAAGTGGGTACCGGCTCATAGCGGCCTTATGCACAACGAAGCACTGCCTGGTCCTGCGCCATCCTCACAGTCGCTCCTATGCTGGAGCCCATCGCTGCTGCCACTGTGCCAATCCATCTCACTGGGGCTCTTTTCTCTTTCTCACTGACCCTCCACTTTACCAAGCATGATGTCCTTCTCCAGGGACTCGTCCCTCTTGACAGTAGGTCCCAAGTATGAGCGATGAAGATTAGAGTTTATAAAACCTCGTGGGGCAGTTCTGCTCTATTCTGGGGGGTCACTATGTGTTGGAAGCCACTCAGTGGTACTCAACAACCCCAGCTGCGCTGGGTGGTATTTGGTGATAGTTATTAAGTTAGATGAGTCCTGGTATGTCACTGTAGGTTGAGTACTGGACTGGTAACTACAAGGTACGTGATGGAACCCACCAGCTCTTCTTGGAAACCCTATACCAGATCACTTTGAGTCAGAGTGGACTCGACGGCATTTAACAATAACATTAAGTTAGATATCAATCTGTAGCGTGTCTTCAGTTTGTGACTTTTCAATGCAAGACCAAACGTAATATTTTCAAGACCAAAATATATTTTTTAACATGTATATTTGTGTTGTGGTAGAAAGCTGGGTTCTTAGCTAGGGTTTGGGGGACTTTGAAAATCAGCCCAGGAATCTTTGATAAAGCACAGGCTAGCCCCCCTACAGTTGTTTTATCTATAAACTTAAGCTCTTGGTTTTAGCAAATGTACTGTTGCCTCTCAAGCTTTTCCACTCTGCTACTGAAGTTCCCAGTCTCCTGCAGAGAAGTTTGAAAAGTTCCACAGTGGTCTCTCCAGAGTGTCTTGTTTGGAGCCCTTTGGAGTCTTTTTGTGGACTCAAGTGTGTGTGTGCGTCCTCTCCTTATTTTCAAAAAACAAAGAAACAAACCCAGTGCTGTCCAGTTGCTTGTGTCTCTCGGCAACCCTGTAGCATAGAGCAGAGCTGCCCCCTGGGGTTTCTGAGGCCATAATTCTGTATGGAAGCTGACTGCCAAAGCTTTCTCCCTCCCATGGAGTAACCGGGAGGTTTGAACTGCTGACCTTCTGGTTGGCAGTCGAGCTCTTAACCCCCTGTGCCACTAGGGCTGTATGGTTTTGGAGGGCAACACTAGGGAAAAAGTCCGGTAGAAATTGGCAAGCAGGTTTTTGACAAAGGCCTTGTCTGCACTTCATTTCTTTATAGGCAGGTTTTTTTGAGTTTTTAATTTTCCATTTGTTTTGTTGTCGTGGAGAATCCGCTCAGCCACATGTACACCAGTTTAACCGTACCGTTCAGTGACACTGTTTTCATCCTTCCAGTTGTGTGACCATTCTCCCCTCCTTGTCTACTGCGCAGGCCATTTTAGTAGAGTAGACACCAGTTCTTCATACTTAGCCATCTGCCAGATAAGGCACCACGTGGCCAGTCTCAGTCCATCCTGACAGTGACCCTTTCAGTTGGGGATACTTGAGTTTAGAACAGAGGTGGGGAACCTTTTTCCTGCCAAAATTTATGGTATCGTTTGTAGGCCTTACACAATCTATCAATTTAAAAATTAGTCTGCTTTATTTAGTGAAAATTTAATTAACTCATCTCTAATTGGTAACAGTGGTTACGAATCGGGCTGCTAACCTCAAGGTCAGTAGTTCGAAACTACCAGCCGTTCCATGGGAGAAAGATGAGGCTTTCTGCTCCCATGAAATTTACAGCCTCAGAAATGCTATATGGGGTTGCTGTGAGTCGAAACTGACTCCAGGGCACACCACCACTACCACCAATGTGATGGCAGGAGTCCTGGTGTGGTGCTTTGGGAGAAAGCACTGGACTGTAAGGTCAGTTTGAACCACAAGGTGGGCGATTCAAACTCCTTAATTGCTCCTTGGAAACTCTATACAGGGTTGTCATGAGTCGGAGCTGATGCCACAGCACTTACCAACAGCAACAGTGTGATGGCTGGAACTGCAGTTGCCTTGGCAGGGCCTGACCAAGTGATTTCCAGGACCTTATATGGTGCAAGTGCCAGCTGTTCCCCACCCCTGGTTGAGGGTGGAAGTGACTTACCCAAGATCACCCAGATAGTAGCCCAGCCAGGATGTGATCCCAGGGGCAGCGTGATGTTAAAGCAGCGACTTACCGCTCTCAGTCTTGTTTGTCATCCTCCTTCACAAACACACAGGCTCTCCTTGGGAAAGTGTGTTGCCAGATCTCCTTTACATGCCTGCAGCATTGGGCTGATAAAGTAGGAAGCCTCATAGAGAAGCAGCAGCATGTCAGGGGTGCGTATGGGAACGCTCTCCCTGGGTGTACTGCATGTGTGACTGTCAGACTGCACATCTTGGCCCTGTTTTTGGATCTTTCTTCAGCAGTGATAAGATAAAACTTGACCTGGTCTAGTCCTTTAGGACAAAGTCAAACGGCTCCAGAGGGTTTCCGAGGCTGTAGACCTTTACAGGAGCAGATGGCCTTTTCTGTCTCCTAGCTGTGTAGGCTAGAAGAGTATTGATGATTTTTAGAATTGCTGTTTTTAGAATAGCTTTTATGATTTTTAGAATAGCTAGATTTTTTAGAATAGCTAACAGAACTAAATTTGGATGGTTTTTTTTTTTTTTTTTTTTTTTTTTTTTTTTTTTTTTTTTTCAGTTTTGTTTTGTTTTTTGGCGCTTGACTCAGGATTTAATTCTCTATGCATGTTAACAAGGAACCTTGGTGGCACAGCTTTTAAACACTATCCGGAAGGTTAATGGTCTGACCCCTTCCAGCGACTCCCAAGGGAGAAAGACCTAGCAGTCTGCTCCTGTAAAGATTACAGCCCAGAAATTTGTGGGGGAGTTCTAGTCTGTCACATGGGATCGCCATGAGTCACAAATTGACCCGATGGCGTGCATCAGGAACAGGAGGAATGATGACGTAGTTTACCTCATTGGGAGCATGGGATTGTGGTTCAAGGGCCTGGGAGTGGCTCCTGGCACTGCTGCTTAGCTGTGGGTGTTGGTGAATCTCTGTGAACCTCAGCTCAGTGTCCACGCCTTGAAAATGGGCACAGAACACGCCTCCTAGGGGTGAGGGGAGGTGAAATCAAGGAATTTATGTCACATGTTTATTTGGACATGCCCAGCATGTGTGAACCTCACAGGGTATCTGGTCCCTGGTACAAGCGGAACTGCATTGTATTTGGAATTTGCAGTTGGGTGACGTTATGTTAGGACAATTATGATTCAAACCAGCACATTGATGTACCTCTTAATCCCCTCTCTGCCTTTTCGTAGGGCAGAGATCTGGGGACTCGATAAAGAAAAGGGTGTGGGACCAACGAGTAGATACAAATGCTGTTTCTCAAAGCGTCGGGAGTACAAATCCTAATTAGTCATTTCTCAATACTGAATTTGTTGACAGTTGGCAGGGAGGGATTCTCCAGTGAGGGCAGAAATGCCGGGAAATCTTCAACACTACGGAAGGTAGGACTTTTGCTGTTTATTGCACAATACTGGGTTTTAGTATCTTCTCTGGTAACAATAAAATCATGCACATGGGATGTTCTGTGTGCTTTCGTTGGCAGTAATCACAAAGGAAATGAGCCTCGGTGGCACAGTGGAGTAAGCATTGGGCTGCTAACCAAAAGGTCGACAGTTCAGACCCACCAGCCACTCTGGGAGGAAGATGTGGCAGTAGATTTACAGTCTGGGAACCCAACGACGGGACAGTTCTACTCTGCCTGACAGGGTCGCTCTGAGTCAGGATCCACTCCACAGCAGCGGTTTAGGGGTTGGGGTTGCCGATTTGTTTTTGTTTTAAATTCTGTTATTTCAACTGAGTTAAAGCTAGTTACCATGTTCTGATTTGCTATTTCCCAAGTGGTATCTAGTGTCAAGGAGGGAAAAGAGACGGAATGTATGGCAAATAGGAATGTGTTCTGTTTATTCTTGTGTGTAATTTAACTTTATTGAACTGAGTCCTCTTTGTGCTTGTTTTTCAGATTTCTTACTGGACCCTTGAACCTTAATGATCCCGAAGCAAAATGCAGATTCCCTAAAATTTTTGTCAATACAGATGACACCTATGAAGAGCTCCATTTAATTGTGTATAAGGTACCAGCTGATTTTCCTCCAGTGTGACAGCTCAGTCCTGAAGTCACTGTTCTGGACCTGTGTGTACGTGCCCAGGAGGATGTATACTAGCCTCCTCAGTGTTTCTTGGAGAAGGTGTTGCAAGTTCTAATTATTGGAAAGTGAAAGATGGGTGCTTTCCTGGAAACGGGTGGTTTCTCCTCAGTTCCTTTTAAGCAGTGTTGTAGTTAGTGGAATGGGAAATGTGGAGGGCTGTGATTAGCAAACAGTGAAAGTGACAGTTTCAGAAATCCAGGATTCAGTGCCTTCTGGGTGTGGGCCTTGACCACACACTGCCGTGACATAAGCATTTGCTCCGATTGTAAAGCTTGTGAACCTGAGAACAGAGAATAGGATTTGGTGTCAGGAAAGGATGTGATCTCTACCTTAGGCTGGGGTCTTTGTTCCAAAGGCAGTTTGGGGTCAAGAATGAAGACTGAGCATGAATGTTGGTTATCTTTCTGTCCTGTGACTGCCGTTCAGTTTGAATGCATAAGGTGAAAGAGATGAGTCCATGGGGACAGCAAAGGATGGGCTTGTTCTGCAGCTTCCTCGGAGACAGGGAAGAGATGTAAGCGTGATGCCTGGTGGAGCAGGCAGGGGAGCAGACACCTCAGGAGTTAGGAGTGGGAAGTGGGGCTGGAGAAGGAAGGAATAAGTGAAGTCTTGTGCATCAACCCCTTCCTTTAGGAGCCCTGTTGGCACAGTGGTTAAGTGCTCAGCTACTAACCAAAAGGTCAGTGTGGCAGTTTGCTCCCGTAAAGGTTTACAGCCTCGTAAACCTGGTGGGGGATGTTCACCTCGGTCCTAGAGGGCCATGATGAGTCAGTGTCGACTTGACAGCAATGGGTTTGAGTTCTGTTCTTGCACACAGGCCTGCTGCTGAGCCCCTACACGTGGATGAAAAGTGATGAATGTATGTGTGTTAAGTATGCTATTATAAGTGCAGTCGAGTCAGTTCTGACTCCTAGCAATCCTGTATAGGGTTTCCAAGGAATGGCTGGTGAGTTTGAACCACCAGCCTTGTGGTTAGCAGTCCACTGCTAATCATATATCTGTTAGTGTAGTGGTTACGAGTTGGGCTGTGAACCTCAAGGTCAACAGTTCAAAACTGTCAGCTGTTCCGCAGGAGAAAGATGAGGCTTTCTACTCTCGTAAAGATTTACAACCTCAGAAACCCTGTACAGGGTCGCTATGAGTCAGAACCGACTCCACGGCACACTACCACTACCACCACTATATATGAAATGTATGTATGTATGTGTGTATATGTCCTGATGTGGTGCTGTGGGATAAAGCACTGGACCACAAGGTCAGTTTGAACCACAAGGCCGGCAGTTCAAACTCAACAGCCACTCCTTGGAAACCCTATACAGGATCACTATGAGTTGGAACTGACTCAGTGGCACTTAACAACAACGTGTGTGTGTGTATATATATATATCTATATATCTATATATATATGACAACGTTGATTTGACAGCTACCCTTGTCTAGGAGGGTAAGGCAAAGTTAACATTGCTATGGAGCAGTTTATAGCAGGCATTTCCAGTTTGGGTGAGGTGTTTTATGGTTACAATTTGTTTCGTGGACAAGAAAGACCCTAAACTCAAAGTAAGATGCCTGTTTCTGACTCTCGTGTTGAGCAGTGAAACCTCCTGATCTTACTCCTGATCTTTGGGGGAAAAAACAGCCCATCTCTCACATAAGTCAGCTTAGCTTTGGGTGGTTTGTTTAGATGCCTTTTATCAGGTTGAGGAAGTTTCTTTCAATTCCTTATCTGGTGAGTAGTTTTTTGCTTTGTTTTTCATGGAAAGCTGTAGACTTTTTTCTAGTGCTTTTTGTATGACTCATGAGGTGATCTTGTGGTTTTGATGCACATGTTGCAGATTAGTAAAATACTAAAAAGACTGATAGAAAAATTAATGGTTTTGAGTTTTGGTGTTGGAGGAGAATATTGAAAGTGCTATGGGCTGCCAAAAGAACCAATATCCATTTTGGAAGAAGTGCAGCCAGAGTGCTCCTTAGAGGACAAGATGGCCAAACTTCATCTCTCATACTTTGGAAATATTGTCAGGAGGGAGCAGTTGCTGGAGAAAGATATCGTGTTTGGTAAGGTGGACCCCCAATGAGATAGATTGGCCGAGTAGCAGCGTCAAGGGACTCAAGCATGGCAACAGTAGTGAGGTTGGCCCAGGATCGGGCATAAGGTCGCTATGGGTCGGTACCGACTCGATGGCACCTAATAACAACAACATAATAGTTTTCCATCCCTCCGCATCCCCTACGCCCCTAACCCTCACTCTTTTCGTAAGTGATGTCACAAATCAATGTAAAATCAATAACCAAAAATGGCTGGTAAGTAAAAATAATTCAAATGTTTTGGGAATGTGAGTTGGCATGCGAAAAAGATTACGTTGATTACAGTATGTTGTGGAGCCAGTTCTGTTTGATTGTATGAGTAGGATAATGCCCAGTTGAAACGGAGCCTGGAAGTGTCATTCTGCAGCTCACTAACTACTGGAATCTGTTTAAATTGCTTAGTGGAAACTTTCAGTCTCACCAGCCATTCCTAGAAAACCCTATACAGGGTAGCTATGGGTTGGAACTGACTCAACGGCACTTAACAACAACTCTGTATTGAAGGATTTCTTTTTTTAATATTCTACGTCATATATGTGTATTACAAAGTATGTAGAAAACCTATGAAATATGTTTTTCCACAACATTAAAATATATCTAAAAAAAAAAAAAAAAGACTGAATATTGCATGTTAGTAGAATAAAGGATTTCCCAGTGTTCAGCCAGCCTTGCATCCCTTGGATCGTTCCCTTGGTGATGGTGTGTAGCGTTGTTCGTAAATGGGTAGACTGTTCCCACTAAAAAACTATTTCTGCTGCTCTGTGCTTTTGCTGTGGTTTCTCAGACTTTGTCCTCAAGACCCTGCTGGCCTCCTAGAATGAGACCAGAAGTATGACCTCCTCTGTGTTTCTGAAGACTTTGAGGAGGGTGGGTGTCCCTCTGTAATGTTTGGTAGAGTTCTCCAGTGAGCCATCTGATCTAGGAGTTGTTGGAGTTTTTTGTTTTGTGTTTAACTTTTTATTGTGAATTGAGTAAAGGATTACAGAACAGATCATCAATCCCACATTCAACAAATCATAGACTTCAATGATTACAATCCCCTCAAAGTACCATCAGTTAACAGTGTTTACTTTTGTTCAGTTTTTCCATCTCCCTCCCACCCCGGAATGCCCTGTAACCATTATAGAATGTTTTATTTAGCACGTGGTCTAGGACTTTTTCTCCTTACCAGATTTTCAATCAGATGTAACTTTTCTTTCTTTGTAAGTCTATTAAGTAGTTTCTATGTTTCTAGGGAAGCGTGATTGATAAACAATGGACTGAGAACCACAAGATTAGTGGTTCAAGCCCATCAGCTGCTCTGCAGGAGAAAGATGAGGTTTTCTTCTGCAGAGCTTTATAGGCTTGGGAACCCTATACAGGGTCACTATGTATTGCTACCAACTCAGTGGCACTCAACAACAACAACTTGTTTCTAGGAATTCATCCATTTCATCCAAATTATCTAATATTACCATCTCATGATCCCTTTTATATCTGTAGAGTTGGCTGTAATGCCTCTGCTTCCTTTTGTTACTGTTGTTGATGCTGGCATCTTCTCAAGTCTTTTTCTTCTTGAGTCTCACTAAAGGTTTGTCTCTGTTAGAGATCTTTCTGAAAAACCAACTTCTGGCTTCATTGATTCTATTGTTTTTCTAGTCTGTGTTTCGTTGATTTCTTTTCTGATCTTTGTTACTTGGGGTTTAATTTGCTCTTCTGTTTCTCATTCTTCAAGTTGTAAATTTGTTGTTGATTTGAGATCTTCTCTGTCTTTTAGAGTAGGTGGTTACCACTATAAATCTCCCTCTGAGCGTGGTCTTCTGTGCCTCCCAAAGTTTAGTTTCTGCTGAGCTGCGTGTTTTCCGGGTTCTCTGTGTGAAATCTCTACTTGGTCAGTAGACGTTGTTGGTATCATTGCACTGTGAGTCTCTTCTTAATTACCTTCTACCAAAATAGCCATCGTTGTCACAACTCCTTTCGGCTTGAGTGTCCCCACCCTCTCTCCCAAGTCACTCCAGTCCTCCAATGAGAATCTCTCTGTTCTATGGCCTGCCTCTTCTCTGGGCAGAGATGCTGTACCACACCTCTGGACTTGGCCTTGGGGACAGTGACCTGCTTCTCTAGGAGTGACACCCTGCTCTACAAGGTGGGCAGTGTTGCTCCTGGTATACATATCAAATGGGGAGAGGGTGATGGGGCCTCAACATTCGCAGCCTGCCAGACCTGGGGCAGTTTCCACCATATGAGTGAGTAGTTCTCCCCCCACCCTCCCCAGCCACGCCTCCTGGAGTAGACCTCCAGGGCAGCCCCAGCTGGGGAAAACCACAGCCCTAAACTACTACTTGGCTACAACCGTGTGAAGTGTGACTTATGTCACTTGACCCATTGTTATTATTGCTGTTAGGTGCCATTGAGTGGCTTCCAACTCATCGTGACCCTACACACTATAGAATGAAACCCTGCCGGGTCCTGCACCAAACTCACAGTCATCATTATGGTTCAGCCCATTGCAGCTGCCACTGTGCCATTCCATCTCGTTGAGGGTCTTCCTCTTTTTCACTGAGCCTCCACTTTACCCAGCACGGTATCTTTCTCCAGGGACTGGTCCCTCCTGACAACATGTCCTAATAAGTATGTGAGACCAAGTCTCACCATCCTTCCTTCTAAGGAGCACTCTGAGTCTCGCCATCCTTCCTCCTAAGGAGCACTCCAGCTGTACTTCTTCCCAACCTACTGGTGGTTATGCACCGTGGAGTCGGTTCCAACTTATAGCGACCCTTTCTGAGGCGTTAATTCTTTAACACAGCAGAAAGCCTCATCTTTCTCCCATGGAGCCGCTCGTAGACTCCAACTGATGACCTGTGGTTAGCAGCTCAACTTGTAACCCACTACACTACCTTAGTTCCTGGCCTGTCGTTGTTAAGTGTCGTGTCGGTTCCAACCCATAGAGACCCTTATAGGGTTTCCAGGGAGCGACTGGTGACCTGGCCTAGGGTGGCTCAAATGCTAGTTTCCCTGTCACTGTTCATACTGAGGGTTAGCAGGTTTTCTTGAACAAATGTAGAGCTACGGTCTGTGGACCCCTTGTGCCATCATCATTCTGAATCTGTTGCCGGGCATCCTGATGATTTTGCCTCTGCACATGGAAAGGGCCACACTGCAATGTGTGTGGATTACTGATGTGTCTGAATCGGCTTCAACAGGATGTGGATGTGTCGGAGCGTTGACAGCTGTTGAGTATGTGGTGGTTAATGTGACCATTCTGCGTACTGTTTGATGTCTTTGAAATTGTCTTTTCATAAGATAGTTTCAAAATACTTAGGGACTTTAAAAATTTCATGGGAAAATTCCATGATCTCTTAACTCCAGTTTTCCACAAACTTTTTGAAGCCCCCTCCTAGAGATTTAAGATACTCTTTTTTTTTTTTAATGTTTCATTGTGAATTATGTGATAGTTTACATGGGAGAACATTAGGTTTACATTCATCCTATC